GCATACAAGACATGCAAGGTGTGTGTCTCTGTGTGGCAGCTAAGCCAGAACAGCAGAACTCACATGATTTGAACAATACATAAGCTGGAACTTCTGAAAACGGATATCATAGCATGACCCCTTTGGGTTTTATTTTTTTAACTAGCCCTGTTCCTGTACCTTTGACAGTGCTGGGCATGCAGAAAATAAGGACAACATAAAGGCAGGCTTGTTTGTTTATACCCATCTATGCCCGAAAGCATAGGAAGAGCGGAGGACAAGTACAAGTAGATTCAGAGCTGATGAAGCGGCTGGGCCAAAGCCAAAAGGACGCTCAGTTGCGGATATGCCTGGAAGCGAAAGGAAAGTCCAATGCTGTAAAGAAAAATATTGCATAGGAACCTGGAATGTAAGAACCATGAACCTTGGTAAGTTGGATGTGGTCAAAAATGAGATGGCAAGAATAAATATTGACATCCTGGGTATCAGTGAACTAAAATGGATGGGAATGGGTGAATTCAGTTCAGATGACCATCATATCTACTACTGTGGGCAAGAATCCCGTAAAAGAAATGGAGTGGCCCTCATAGTCAACAAAAGAGTGGCGAAAGCTGTACTGGGATGCAATCTCAAAAATGATAGAATGATCTCGATATGAATCCAAGGCAGACCTTTTAACATCACAGTAATCCAAGTTTATGCACCAACCACTGGTGCTGAAGAAACTGAAATTGACCAATTCTATGAAGACTTACAACACCTTATAGAAATGACACCAAAGAAGGATGTTCTTCTCATTATAGGGGATTGGAATGCTAAAGTAGGGAGTCAAGAGATAAAAGGAACAACTGGCAAGTTTGACCTTGGAATTCAAAACGAAGCAGGGCAAAGGCTAATAGAGTTCTGCCAAGAGAACAAGCTGGTCATCACAAACACTCTTTTCCAACAACACAAGAGACGACTCTACACATGGACATCACCAGATGGGCAGCATTGAAATCAGATTGATTATATTCTCTGCAGCCAAAGATGGAGAAGCTCTATACAGTCAGCGAAAACAAGACTTGGAGCGGACTGTGGCTCAGATCATCAGCTTCTTATAGCAAAATTCAAGCTTAAACTGAAGAAAGTAGGAAAAACCACTGGGCCGGTAAGATACAATCTAAGTCAAATCCCTTATGAATACACAGTGGAAGTGAGGAACAGGTTTAAGGATTTAGATTTGGTGGACAGAGTGCCTGAAGAACTATGGATGGAGGCTCGTAACATTATACAGGAGGCAGCAACTAAAACCATCCCAATGAAAAGGAAATGCAAGAAAGCAAAGTGGCTGTCCAACGAGGCCTTACAAATAGCAGGGGAAAGAAGGCAAGCAAAATGCGAGGGAGATAGTGAAAGATACAGGAAATTGAATGCAGATTTCCAAAAAATAGCAAGGAGAGACAAGAAGGCCTTCTTAAACGAGCAATGCAAAGAAATAGAGGAAAACAATAGAATGGGAAAAACCAGAGATCTGTTCAAGAAAATTGGAGATATGAAAGGAACATTTCGTACAAAGATTACCATAATAAAAGACAAAAGTGGAAAGGACCTAACAGAAGCAGAAGACATCAAGAAGAGGTGGCAAGAATACACAGAGGAATTATACCAGAAAGAAATGGATGTCTCGTACACCCCAGGTAGCGTGGTTCCTGACCTTGAGCCAGACATCCTGGAGAGTGAAGTCAAATGGGCCTTAGAAAGCACTGCTAATAACAAGGCCAGTGGAAGTGATGACATTCCAGCTGAACTATTTAAAATTTTAAACGATGATGCTGTCAAGGTGCTACACTCAATATGCCAGCAAATTTGGAAAACTCAGCAGTGGCCAGAGGATTGGAGAAGATCAGTCTACATCCCAATCCCAAAGAAGGGCAGTGCCAAAGAATGCTCCAACTACCGCACAATTGCACTCATTTCACACGCTAGCAAGGTTATGCTTAAAATTCTACAAGGCAGGCTTAAGCAGTATGTGGACCAAGAACTCCCAGAAGTGCAAGCTGGATTTTGAAGGGGCAGAGGAACCAGAGACCAAATTGCAAACATGCGCTGGATTATGGAGAAAGCTAGAGAGTTCCAGAAAGACATCTACTTCTGCTTCATTGACTATGCAAAAGCCTTTGACTGTGTTGACCACAGCAAACTATGGCAAGTTCTTAAAGAAATGGGAGTGCCTGATCACCTCATCTGTCTCCTGAGAAATCTCTATGTGGGACAAGAAGCTACAGTTAGAACTGGATATGGAACAACTGACTGGTTCAAAATTGGGAAAGGAATACGGCAAGGCTGTATATTGTCTCCCTGGTTATTTAACTTATATGCAGAATTCATCATGCGAAAGGCTGGACTGGATGAATCCCAAGCCGGAATTAAGATCGCCGGAAGAAATATCAACAACCTCAGATATGCAGATGACACAACCTTGATGGCAGAAAGTGAGGAGGAATTAAATAACCTTTTAATGAGGGTGAAAGAGGAGAGCGCAAAATATGGTCTGAAACTCAACATCAAAAAAATGAAGATCATGGCCACTGGTCCCATCACCTCACCTCCTGGCAAATAGAAGGGGAAGAAATGGAGGCAGTGAGAGATTTTACTTTTTTGGGCTCCATGATCACTGCAGATGGTGACAGCAGTCACAAAATTAAAAGATGCCTGCTCCTTGGGAGAAAGGTGATGGCAAACCTAGACAGCATCTTAAAAAGCAGAGACATCACCTTGCCAACAAAGGTCCGTATAGTTAAAGCCATGGTTTTCCCAGTAGTGATGTATGGAAGTGAGAGCTGGACCATCAAGAAGGCTGATCGCCGAAGAATTGATGCTTTTGAATTATGGTGCTGGAGGAGACTCTTGAGAGTCCCATGGCCTGCAAGAAGATCAAACGTATCCATTCTTAAGGAAATCAGCCCTGAGTGCTCACTGGAAGGACAGATCGTGAAGTTGAGGCTCCAATACTTTGGCCACCTCATGAGAAGAGAAGACTCCCTGGAAAAGACCCTGACGTTGGGAAAGATGGAGGGCACAAGGAGAAGGGGGCGACAGAGGACAAGATGGTTGGACAGTGTTCTCGAAGCTACAAACATGAGCCTGACCAAACTGCGGGAGGCGGTGAAAGACAGGAGTGCCTGGCGTGCTCTGGTCCATGGGGTCACAAAGAGTTGGACACGACTAAACGACTAAACAACAACAACAACAATGCCCGAAAGCACATTTAGAGAGTCAGATATCCAAGTTTTAGAGAAATTGCTACGCCTTCTTCCTACCTCTGACTTACCTCTAGGGTGGCCTGGTGAAAAAGCAGATAGGGTTTCTGCACCTGTAATAGTTGCATAGAAGAGCGAATTTCAGTGGGTAGGTGTAGCTTTGACAACCTGCTCTTTTCTTCTCTTTTTCATCTGGTCACTCAACTACTTAGCTGTCTGTCTCAGGTGCTTTCCTCCGCAGCTGATCTCCAATACCAGAAATGCGCTTTCGGGGTAGAAACTATGAGAAGGCAAGTGGCAGGTATGGGGAGGGTTCAGTTGCTTGCAGTTGCACCTATCTTGCAGCAAAATGGTGGTGTTCATGCTTCTCACACCTTTGAGCTGGATTATTGTAATGTGCTCTTCACATGGCTGCCCTTGCAGCTAGTGCTGAAACTTCAGCTTGCTTCACAACATAGCTACCAGCATTGGAAAGACATGGGTTTTGTTTAGTTTTGTTTTTGGTCATTTTCATTTATTATTATGACGGTACAGTGGTATCTCGGGTTAAGAAGTTAATTCGTTTCAGACGTCCGTTCTTAACCTGAAACTGTTCTTAGCCTGAAGCACCACTTTAGCTAATGGGGCCTCCTGCTGCCGCCGCGCCGACGAAGCACGATTTCTGTTCTCATCCTCAAGCAAAGTTCTTAACCCGAGGCATTATTTCTGGGTTAGCGGAGTCTGTAACCTGAAGCGTCTGTAACCTGAAGCGTATGTAACCCGAGGTACCACTGTATATAGAAGGTTCAGGTCTGATTACAAATCACATGGGAAGGAAGTCGCTATGGCTTTGTTCTTTCTGTAGGTGGCACTGTTTCTTATAACTTAGCACTAAGCAGAGCAAACATACTAGGAGTGGCCTTCAGCTATACCACTGGTTCCCACAGGAAGAGTGGGGCTGTTGAGGCTTCTTCCATGTTGTATCGTTCTTGTGTGCTGGGCGGCAGGTTACCAGCAGTGGGATGGTGCGCTTCAAGGAGCTGAAGAGGGCCGATCAGAAGATGAAAGCAACCAGGACACAACGTCACTGGTAAAACAACAACACTTTGAGAACCACTCCCTCATACCAAAGAGTCTTGAGGCACCTTAAAGAGGATGTGCAAGCACAAGCTTTTTTGTGAATTACACTTCAACTGATGCAACTGTAGTCCATATACAGTGGTACCTCGGGTTATATACGCTTCAGGTTACAGACTCCGCTAACCCAGAAATAGTACCTCGGGTTAAGAACTTTGCTTCAGGATGAGAACAGAAATCATGCAGCGGCGGCGCAGCAGCAGCAGGAGGCCCCATTAGTGGTGCTTCAGATTAAGAATAGTTTCAGGTTAAGAACAGACCTCCAGAACGAATCAAGTTCTTAACCCGAGGTGCCACTGTAGTTTATTTAACTTTATTTTCTTACATTTTCATCCTTCCTTTCTTTCATCTTGGAACTCAGTGCAATAGACATATGGTTCCTAGGAGGAGCTTCTGCATGGTGGTGCCTTCAGACCAAGCCCTGAAAGTGAAGCTTATGGCATTATAAATTTGTCGGTCTTAAGGTGCTACAAGACTCTGATGGTTTCTGCTGCAAAGGATTAACACAGCTGCCCCTCTGGAACTCCTCCACCATACCAGTGACCCCAAACTTTATTCTATTTCAAGATCTGTTCAGCAGGTTCAACACAATGACAGGGGCTATGAGGTCCAAGTCACTGAGTCCATTCCACATCCCCCAGGTTTCAGGCAGGGTTCTCTCCCAGGCCAAACAGGAGAAGTTGGTGTATTGAATCCTGGATCTTCTGCATCCGGAACAGATGCCCTACCGCTGGGCTATGGCCTTTCTATATCCTAGGAAAAAAACATGTACCTATCTTGTAATGGCTGGAGGTTAGCTTTTTAAAATGTGCTATCGACAATTCTGCGCTAGAAAAATAAACGATAAGGCCGTTTCCTGTCTTCTCACTGCTGCAGAACTTTAAACAGACAACCCATCCCAGGGTGAATCGCATATTTGCTTTGTACCCTCTAAGCTCTACAAATGCAATAAGATTGTCAACGCTCCAGAAAGATCACTGTAGGACCCAGCTCCAGTATTTGTTCATTAAAAGCTTTCTGGGAGCCTTGGGTAGGATGGATCAGAAAACAGCACAGAAGTATTGGTGTGCATCTGTCCTTGCCATGTTCTTCCTTCAGCGCCCTTAGCTAATTTTCAAAGCATATCCTTATAAATGATTAGCTTGGGTAGTAAGGAGCTCATTCTCCTCCGAGCTTTACTGTTATTGTATTTATTAAGCAGCCTTGAAAGCTGCTAACGCAGTTTCTTTCTTCTTACTTCTTACTATTATTATCGTTTGTAAATAACATTTACAACAGTGACAGCGTACGAAAGATGACAACAAGAACACAGCAAAAGAGAAGAACAAAATGGAAAAAGAAAAAGGGAGAAGAAGGGAGAAGACCATATAAAACTAGATTAAGTGACTTTCCCTGTTTCTGGCATGCACACTGCAAAACTCAGAGTTTTCCCACAATTTCAGTAGACATGAAAGAAAAGAACCATAGAATCATAGAGTTAGAAGGGACCACATTTTTAATGTGTGACATTTTGATGTATTTTTAATCTTTGTTGGAAGCTGCCCAGAGTGGCTGGGGAAACCCAGCCAGATGGGCGGGGTACAAATGATAAATTATTATTATATTATTATTATCTAATCCAACCCCCTGCAGTGCAGGAATCTTTTGCCCAACATGGGGCTCAAACCCACAACCTTGAGATTAAGAGTCTCATGCTCTCCCAACTGAGCTATCCCAGGCAGCAAATGAATGAATGAATGAATGAATGAATATGTGGAGGGCTATTGTTTTTGTTTGTTAATACTTTAGGTATTTTTGCATTTTAAAACTGTATTGTAAACCACCCTGTGATCCTCCAATGAAGGGTGGCATAGAAATTTAATAATTAAGTCAATGTATGTGACAGTTAGGGACGCAGGTGGCGCTGTGGGTTAAACCACAGAGCCTAGGACTTGCTGATTAGAAGGTCGGCGGTTCAAATCAAAGTTGTTCTTTCCCACCCACAGCAACCCCTTGTAATATATAGAACCCCCACACACGGCTCAGTGCTTGATAATGGCAGGCATTTTGCTAGTTACGTGGGTGGCGCTGTGGGTTAAACCACAGAGCCTAGGACTTGCCGATCAGAAGGTCGGCGGTTCGAATCCCCGCGACGGGGTGAGCTCCCGTTGCTCAGTCCCTGCTCCTGCCAACCTAGCAGTTCGAAAGCACGTCAAAGTGCAAGTAGATAAATAGGTACCGCTCTGGCGGGAAGGTAAACGGCATTTCCGGCACTGCTCTGGTTCGCCAGAAGCGGCTTAGTCATACTGGCCACATGACCCGGAAGCTGTCTGCGGACAAACGCTGGCTCCCTTGGCCTATAGAATGAGATGAGCGCGCAACCCCAGAGTCAGTCACGACTGGACCTAATGGTCAGAGGTCCCTTTACCTTTACCTATGTGACAGTTAGGTGCAACTTCAAATATAACCAGCTTGAGCACATGGTTGTTGAGATAAAGTTTCACTCACTGTGTAAGAAATAAAAGAGTGCCAAACCATATAAAAAGAATCTGGTGCTGATAGCCCTTGACTGAATTTCAGATTGTATGTGATTATGTGGGGGGAGGGGGGATCACATTCAATGTTCCATAAGGAAGGGTACTACAGTCGTAAAGCTCCTGTAGCCAATCGGAAGCCCCGTTGGACGTTCGGCTTCCAAAAATAGTTTGCAAACCGGAACAGTCACTTCCAGATTTGCAGCATTCGGGAGCCAAACATTTCAGGAACTGAGCTGTTCGAAAACCAAGGTACGACTGTACTTGTCTAGTATAAGTTCTTCTGCATCTTTCCAATGGGTTTCAATGGCAAGATAGGCTGCCAATAACATGGAGGTAACCATTTATTTTCATCATATAGTGGCACTGTCTTCATAAAAAAATTAAAAAAAAATTAACCACATCAGTTTAGGGCACCATGCAATCTGATCTTTAGTAATACTACAAATTTCATTATGAACCAAATTCCCAAACTAAAACACAAACCCACCACCAGTGAAAGTACGTGCCCCACTGATTATAACCTCACCAACAAAGTAGTGGCATTAATGAAAACATTGGACTGGTGTACGGTACAATCTATGAGTAGCTTCAGCCTGAGACTGCACCCTAATACTGTTAAGCAACTCCATGGTACAATCACACTTGGAATACTATGTATAGTTCTGATTGTCCTCCCCTTAGAAAGGATATTGTTGAATTAGAAATGGTTCTGAAAATGGAAACCAAAATGATCAAGGGCTTGGATCTAGTAATTCTCTGTAACAAATTATATATGAACAGTGTACAGTGGTACCTCGGATTACATACGCTTCAGGTTACAGATGCTCCAGGTTACAGACTCCGCTAACTCAGAAATAGTACCTTCGGTTAAGAACTTTGCTTCAGGATGAGAACAGAAATCATGCGGCAGAGGCATGGCGGCAGTGGGAGGCCCCATTAGCTAAAGTGGTACCTCAGGTTAAGAACAGTTTCAGGTTAGCAGCTCATTAGCAGCTCTGGCAAAGCTTGTGTGGAGCCAGTGTGGTGTAGTGATTAAGAGCGATGGACTCGTAATCTGGTGAACCGGGTTCGCGTCTCCGCTCCTCCACATGCAGCTGCTGGGTGACCTTGGGCTAGTCACACTTCTTTGAAGTCTCTCAGCCCCACTCACATCACAGAGTGTTTGTTGTGGGGGAGGAAGGGAAAGGAGAATGTCAGCCGCTTTGAGACTCCTGAAGGGGAGTGAAAGGCAGGATATCAAATCCAAACCCTTCTTCTTCTTCTTCTTCTATGTCTACCCACTATTTAACAAACACCTCCCCGAGGAAAGCTATAAAATTTTGGCCTTTTTAAGTTAGAAAAAGAGCAAGGGAGTGGGGACATGATAGAAGGATATAAACATCAGTTGGAGAAAGCAGATAGGCAGACGTTTTTCCTCCTTCTTTCATAATACTAGAACCTGAGGCCATCCAGAGACATTGAATGTAGGAAAAAGTTTGGCATGCCATCAAGATAATACAATTCCCAAGGATAATGTTCAAGTCTGCAATAGCTATTTCATCATATAAATAAATCTTCCCAAGAAGAATATTAGCTTTAAGCCTAGCTCTTTGGGGTGGTAGTGGAATCCATTCCTAGTCAGTGTGAGCTTTGTAAACATTTTGCAAAACAGAAGCGGGCACACACACAAAAACCAATTTCCACTGTGAATTTCCCCCTTTTTTAAAAAAGGTTATTTTGTCTGATTGCCGCATCGCCTGCAGTGAATGATGCCTTCCTTTGTGAAAACTTGCCAGAAGTCAGGGTGCCTGACTTCTAATCTGCCTTGTCTCAAACATGGTATTTCTGCCTAGCCCACAGTGGATACTTGTCTGAGCTGTGATTTTGCCTTATGATTGCTAGCAGCCAGCTCAAATAAGAGAAATGTGAGGTGGTTGCAAAGTAGCCTGAATTGTTTGAAACAGGAAACACAATGCAAGAGCAGAATGCTGCTTATTGTGTTCTTGGGTTTATTTGCTTCTGGTCCAGCGTACCAAACGTACATAGATTGAGCCTATATACATCTCACACGTTTAAAAGCACATTCCCCTTCGTCAAGAAACCTGAGAACCGTTAAGGGTCCTGGGAACTGTAACTCTGTGAGGGGTAAAATACAGTTTCCATGATTATAATTTTTTGGGGTGGGGGAGCAGGAGGAATTTGCTTGAAATGTATGGTGCATGTGCAGCCTGAATTTCATGAACACAAAATACTGTTACACGCCACCCAAATCACCCAGGGTTCAGTTTCCTTGCAATGAGGCACTGCAGAGACTGTGGTGTCTTTAGAATATATGGTTTAATTACACATCTTAGTCTGCGCCTAAGCTGGAGGGGCTCACAGCATTGGCACCCCTACAGATCTTGCTTCTCCCTTCATCACAGCCTTAGATTCCAGCCCAAAACAAGCATGGGCCTGTCTCAGCTTCTGATCACATCTGCAAGAGGGAGAATCCTGCTTCATTGAGACACTGCCACAATATTGTCTCTTCCTTGGGGAATGAACGGTCTTTTGTCTTTAATAAAATATCTCTCCGTAAAGTCTAAACTGCAGAGATGGAAACAAAGTGAGCGGCCGGTTTTAGACCCTGGAGAGAGAGAATCATATTTGCTTGCTTTTCATCTGCAGGAAATTAAGAAACAGGAGTGACAGTGGAGATGGATGCAGGTGCTGCCACACCTCTTGTAAAGCACGGTACTGTTGGTGCACAAAACATCTTTTCAGGAAGACGCGGGGGAAATCTAGATAGTATGTGTGCTAGTCAGAAAACTGCTGGTGCAAAGGATTTGCAGACCCCAAAGCTTTTATTTTATCAATATTAAAAAAGGTAAAGGGGACCCCTGACCATTAGGTCCAGTTGTGACCGACTCTGGGGTTGCGGCGCTCATCTCGCTTTATTGGCCGAGGGAGCTGGCGTTTGTCTGCAGACAGCTTCCAGGTCATGTGGCCAGTATGACTAAGCCACTTCTGGCGAACCAGAACAGCGCACGGAAACAGCGTTTACCTTCCCGCCAGAGCAGTACCTATTTATCTACTTGCACTTTGAGGTGCTTTCAAACTGCTAGGTTGGCAGGAGCAGGGACCGAGCAACGGGAGCTCACCCCGTCGCGGGGATTCGAACCGCCAACCTTCTGATCGGCAAGTCCTAGGCTCTGTGGTTTAACCTGCAGTGCCACCCACGTAACTAGCAAAAGGCCTGCCATTATCAAGCACTGAGCCGTGTGTGGGGGTTCTATATATTACAAGGGGTTGCTGTGGGTGGGAAAGAACAACTTTCACGGGCCAAATCAGATCCCTGTGTGATATACACTCTTTGCCCCAGGTATCCCCATTGTTGGGAGGAGATGATGGGGGTCAAAATTTGCCAACACACATCATGTTGGCGGCTTTCCATTGCTTGCAGATACATTCTCACCCCAGTTCTCCAAGCAGTGAGGAGTTCCAGAAATACAGAGCTTGCCCATGTTTAGTTCTCTTTGGAAGGAGGCAACTCACGGTTCATTGGTGTTCTGTAATATCAGAGTTTATTTTGCAAACATATACACTGAACGTGGGGGGAGGCACAGCGTGAATGTTCTAACAGACAGGCGGTATTAATTGCTCCTGCATCAGATCTCCAGGAAGACAACCAGAACCCTAAGATGCTTACAGAGCCAAAACTCCGCTCTCCCTATCTCTTCCTTGGCTTCTCTTGGGCTGTTGTATCTGTTTTAACACAGGGATGCCTAGATTAAAACATCCTTAGCTGAGGGGAGAGGGGAGTGAAGATCTGCCATTAGCCCTTTTTCAAGTACCATTCAGAAAATATAAAGAAAATGATCTAACAATCAGTTCCCATGGAAACGCATCACCAGGCTATTAACACTCTTTTGTGAAGTATGAGGCTTAGCCCAGGTACACTGGTACCTCGGGTTACAGACGCTTCAGGTTACAGACTCCGCTAACCCGCTAATACTACCTCGGGTTAAGAACTTTGCTTCGGGATGAGAACAGAAATCGCGCGGCAGTGGCACGCTAAAGTGGTACCTCAGGTTAAGAACAGTTTCAGGTTAAGAACGGACCTCCAGAACGAATTAAGTTCTTAACCTGAGGTACCGCTGTATTGCCTCAGGGCAACCCAGACTGACACCCCTGCTCACAGAACTTGGTTAAGAAATCTGTATAGCTCTAAAGCATCTTAGAAGTACATGTAAACATACCTAAGAAAAGTAGGTTGGGTTTCAAATAGGTAAATGGTAAAAGGACCCCTGACCATTAGGTCCAGTCGTAACCGACTCTGGGGTTGCGGTGCTCATCTCCCTTTATTGGCCGAGGGAGCCGGCGTACAGCTTCCGGGTCATGTGGCCAGCATGACTAAGCCGCTTCTGACGAAACCAGAGCAGCGCACAGAAATGCCGTTTACCTTCCCGCCAGAGCGGTATCTATTTATCTACTTGCACTTTGAGGTGCTTTCAAACTGCTAGGTTGGCAGGAGCAGGGACCGAGCAATGGGAGCTCACCCCGTCATGGGGATTCGAACCACCGACCTTCTGATCGGCAAGTCCTAGGCTCTGTGGTTTAACCCACAGCACTTCCCGTGTCCCTCTGGGTTTCAAATCCTGCTCTTGAAAACAGCTTGTCAAAAGTGGAAAGCCTCCATTTGTTAATAATAGAGGAAATGCTCTTACTTCAAATTACACATGCACAAAGATGGATGTGTTAGTCCAAAAGGAACTGCTCAAAGTGGCATCATAGTGCTTAAAATATATGGTGTGACTCTGGCCTGTACAGAGAACACAACCAGCATGCTTTATTCTGGATGGTAATAGAAATGTGTTAAGAAATGTGGTTGGTGTGCATAGGTGTACCACCAGTCTTAAGGATGAAGCAAATGAGGCCTAAGTTTTCTAGTCGGATTGAAGCTTGTTTGGGAGGGGAAAACACATCAAAAGGAAAGATCTGACAAGAAGCTACACAATAAATATGGATTGTGACTAATGTCATGTGAATGTGGCCTCTGTAGCTACCACAGAAGCCACTGGATCAAGAGGGCTTCAGAGGAGGGAGGGAAGGAGAGAGGGACAGAGGCCAGTGTTGCCCACAGCACCCCTGACCATCCTTCAAGGCATCCCAGGGTGCTACAGCACACTGGCTGAAAACCACTGATCTAGTTCATTGGCCGCCCCTTTCATTTCACATGGGCTGTCTGTTTGCAGTAAGAGTCTTTCATATAATAATAATAATAATAATAATAATAATAATAATAATAATAATAATTTATTTGTACCCCGCCCATCTGGCTGGGTCTCCCCAGCCACTCTGGGCGGCTTCCAACAATGATTAAAAATACATTAAAATGTCACACATTAAAAACTTCCCTAAACATTGTTTAAAAACAATGAGAACTGGTGGCTGCTTTGGTATAATAATGCAGCTGTGAAATGTAATGCAGAAACATTGCCGCACCCCTAGGGAGGGTCCACTGTGGCCCCTGAAACGACTGCAATGGCCAGCCCATAGGATATAAAGTATTCAAAAAGGTTGTCACAGCATAGTTTTGTAGGGAAATTGGCCTACGCAATTGGAATGAGAATATACAAAATGCTCTAAATGGCACCTCTACATGTGGTGCATTGCAAAAATGGTTTCATGAACCAGCCTTTAATAGCTCCAAAACTGCTGAGAGAATCTAATTTGGGAGAGGAGGGTAGTTTGCTGCTTTCTTGCTCCTGGTCTGTGTGATTGCCAGTCTACTTGTTTAACACACCTCATGCAATTCACCTTTTAAAACAGATTTTAATTAACTTGCTTACTAGGAAAGGACGCATTTCGCTCAGCATGGCCCCTGCATTAACATTTAACAGTTCCCACCTGGCATAAGATCATACCCTCCAACATTTCTCAGAGAAAATAGGAACGTCCTAAGCAAAGTGGGACATTTCCAGGATCAAATCAGAAACCGGGACAGTTTCTGTAAATCCGAAACTGTCCCTGGAAAATGTCTGCAAGATGAATTAACCTAATAGTGCCAACTGGGCAGATTCAGGCCGCAATCCTATACAGTGGTACCTCAGGTTACATACACTTCAGGTTACATACGCTTCAGGTTACAGACTCCACTAATCCAGAAATATTACCTCACGTTAAGAACTTTGCTTCAGGATGAGAACAGAAATCGTGCTCTGGTGGCGCAGCAGCAGCAGGAGGCCCCATTAGCTAAAGTGGTGCTTCAGGTTAAGAACAGTTTCAAGTTAAGAATGAACCTCTGGAATGAATTAAGTACTTAACCCGAAGTACTACTGTACCCTTTTATCTGGGAAGAAGCCCTACTGAGTTCACACTGGGGTGTGAGTACACATGTATAGGACTGCACTGTTAAACAGGATTATCATGGATCACAGGGAAAACGCAAGAAGAATAACTGATTGTGTCATGCAGGCCCACATTCAAATGAGCATGAATGAGACATGTGATCTTACATTAAATGCTGAAAATCTTTGTTTCTTAATTTTAACTTACCCTAAGTGCTAGGAAAATGACATGGTAGTTCTGCATGCATTAAACACAATGTGCTGCTGCTTTCTTCACAGTAGGCAATGGCTGCCTTCTCTCTCGCTTACACCAGCTCTCTAATGTATCGAGAACTTTGCTCTTTAATATTTTTACCAAGAATGCTCTGAAGCAGAGCAACTGGAGGACAGAAAGGTGGCACTCCAAAATGACTTAGGAAAGAGGAGTGTGTCTTGAGCCAAAACAAAATATCCACCCAACATCTCTTTCTCTCAATTTTCTGTTTTATTATTTGAACAAAAAAAGAATTATTATTACAGTGGTACCTCAGGCTACAGACGCTTCAGGTTACAGACTCCGCTAACCCAGAGATAGTACCTCGGGTTAAGAACTTTGCTTCAGGATGAGAACAGAAATCGGGTGTGGCCCCATTAGCTGGTACCTCAGGTTAAGAACAGTTTCAGGTTAAGAACAGACCTCCAGAATGAATTAAGTTCTTAACCCGAGGTACTACTGTATTATTATTATTTTGCAAGGCAACTTATAGTTCTGGTACTCATTTATGTTTCTTGTAGGGTCAGGGACTGGCTGGATGAGGAAGAGTGGTGGGTGTCGCCCACTGAAGAGCCCCCCAGTGAGGACACAGAAAAAGATGACTTAGACCCCAGACTTAGATATAAAGGAGTCAGAAGTTGCCCTTGCTACCCAGCAGCACAGTCCCAGTCCTGCTGGCTTTCCTCCCTGCCTCACACCACGCTTGGGGAGAGTCCTGCATGTTGCTGAGCAATGGGTCAGACAGGCCCAGAGGAGGAGCCCACCCCCTCGCCGCAGTCTCCAAATGCTTAGGAGGCCAGTGGTCAGTTTCAGCAATGTCTCCAGCTATAGGAGATGAGCCACAGGAACTCTGCTGTGTTGTCACTTTCTGTGAATAAAAGCTAATTGCATTTCGTGTCTCAAGTTCTTTCCAGCCCTATGGATGACCTGTGCTCGCCTGACAGCTCCTTGACATACGGCTGTGTGAAATGCTACCAAGAGGAAGCAGATCCTTCCCTGCTGTGGGTGAATGGGAAGGAAGCCTGTGTCCTGGCAAACAGGGGTTTTGAATGTGGGAAGTTGCCATATACTGAGTCAGATCACTGGTCTATCCACACAGACTGGCAGCAGCTGTCCAAGGTCTCAGGTGCCAGTCTCTCCCAGTCCTACTGGGAGGTGCCAGGGATTGCAAAGCAGATGGGCTACAGCCCTCCCACTAAAATACACAGAGAGACAGGATTATACCTTTAATCAGACCAGTGGTCCATTAATCTCAATATTGCCTACACTGATTGGCAGTGGCTCTCCAGGATTTCAGACAAGGAGATTCTCCCGGCCACTGTCAAGCTCATTTCATCAGTGGCTTGGAGGATTAATGCAACTGCCTCCTGCTTCTGGTTGAGCAATCTTTGTTTGGCTGATCTTAACTCACAGCAGCATGGAGAGCTATAAATTTGCTTTGCTCCAGCACTAACTTGTGGCAAATGAGTGATGATGATGATGATTTTTTTCTGCCGGTCTGTTTGCTGCAGAGATTTGTAGCTCAACTGCACTTGGTGTGCCTCCACACAAGCCAGACTCAGTAAATTAGAGCTACCCCATTCAGCCAGTCGTTGAGCCCTGCAACTTCTAATTAAACTGCAGTTAAATCTACCCAATTCTAGGTTATCTCCCAGGTGGCAAAGACTGTCTGTGACTCAGCAGCTGCCCAGGGGCGAAGGAAGGAGAACCGGCATCCAGGGCGGGAAGGCGGGGCAAACCGTGCGGTGGCACAATAATAAATAATAAATAATATTTCTTTATTTATAGCCTGCCCTTCCTGGTTCAGAAAACCGGGCTCAGGGTGGCTAACAACAAATTTAAAACACTTAATTGATGCAACAAAAAACAGCATAAAATACAGTATAAAACATGAATAACAATACAGTGGTGCCCCGCAAGACGAATGCCTCGCAAGACGAAAAACTCGCTAGACGAAAGGGTTTTTCGGTTTTGCGTTGCTTCGCTAGACGAATTTCCCTATGGGCTTGCTTCGCAAGACGAAAACGTCTTGCGCTTTTTTCTTAAAGCCGCTTGAAGAGGCGCAGTTGCGACGGACCGTGCTTCGCAAGACGAAAAACATCGCAAGACGAAAAGACTCGCGGAACGAATTATTTTCGTCTTGCGAGGCACCACTGTAAATTCAAAATTCAAAATTCACAATGGCGGCGGCTGGTGGCGGCGGGGTGAGCTCCCCGTGGGGTGCCTTCTTATCTCTCCCCCCCCCCGAGATGGCACCTGAGGCGGATTGCACCCCCGCCCCCTTCCTTCGCCACTGCAGCTGCCTAGCCAATAACAGTATGGCGTAGAAGAAAAAAATCAAACTGTGACCAGTGGGAAGAGTTTAGGGACTGGGCAGAGGAGGAATGGTGGAGACTGCCTCCCCAGCCTGACCCTTCCAGAGGAGGAGAAGACAGTTCAGAATTACAACAGGGGTTTGAGGGAGGTCACAACTCAGAGGAAGATGAGGGGGAAAGTTGGGAAATAATGGGAGAGGAGGAGGAAGGGCAGAGCCGGAGCAGCTGGCTAACACATTATCATTAGAAAGCATTCCTGACCCACCATCTCCCAGAACCCGGTGAGCCTTAAAAGTAGGAGAGCAAAGAGCTCAAAGAGAGATGGCCCTAAGCAGCAAACGTAAGGGTGTGTATGTGTGCTGTTGATGAATGAGGAAGTGGGAGAAAAGTGGGGTGGAAATTTACTCAGGACAACGCCATTATTCCTAGAGGCTGCATTCCCAAGTCTCTCTCTGTAAATATTGAATAAAAAGCAGATGGTAAGGACTTTTCCGTGTCTTATCTGTTCCTGGCAACCTGCCATGGAGGTTGGTTCCTCTGCCACCTGACAGAAATTGTGAGGGATGCAGAGAGGCAAAGCTTGAATGTCACTGGAGACTGAAGTCACACCCACACCCTTTGTTTAGAGCACATGCCTTCCTCAAAAGAATCCTAGGACCTGCACCCCTCACAGCAACACAAGCACCCTTAATGAACTACAGTTCCCAGGATTCTTTGGGAGAAGTCATGTGCTTTAAATGTGCATTCCATAAAGAGACAGTCAGGAGCTCTTCACTCATTGAATGTTGTGGGTGACAGGGATCATGCCCAATGCATGCATTGGCTGTTGGGGAGGCTGTGGCTAGCAAACCCTTCAAACATTATTTTAACAAGTATGTTGTCGAAAATAAGTATGATGTCTAAGCAACATCCTTGCACACTGGAACCAACTCCATGGGACCATAGGGGCTTGGGCAGCCACAATAATATATTTGTGGGAGCTGCCCCCACCCAAGTGAATGGGCAGAGTTGAAGCCCTTTGTTGAGGGCACCCACAATCTTCGGCACAAGATGGCACCTAAGACCTTGGATACAACCCTAGGCAACCATCAAAACAGTCAGTGTGTACACACCCTTCCTTTAATGCATATTCAAAGCACATTCTTTCCCCCAAAGAATTCTGGCCACTGTGGTTTGTTGAGGGTTGCTGGGAACTGAAACTCTGTGAGGGGTAAACAACAATGCCCATAATTGTTGGGGGTGTGTGTGCTCTGAATGTGTTTTAAAGGTACAGTGGTACCTCGGGTTACAGACGCTTCAGGTTACAGATGCTTCAGGTTACAGACTCCGCTAACCCAGAAATAGTACCTCGGGTTAAGAACTTTGCTTCAGGATGAGAACAGAAATCGTGTGGCAGCAGCGCGGCGGCAGCGGGAGGCCCCATTAGCTAAAGTGGTACCTCAGGTTAAGAACAGTTTCAGGTTAAGAATGGATCCCCAGAACGAATTAAGTTCTTAACCCGAGGTACCACTGTATAGTGTTTACACACCCTTAGAAACTGGTCACGTCTACAGAGTGAACTGGATTTGGGGCCCAGCCCCCTCAGAAGTGAGGGCTGAGAAGCTTGAGGAGGGAAGGGAAGAAGGGAAGTCAGCAGTTAGGCCACTGCATGGTTGGGAAAGGCTCTCTGGGGCCATGCGGTCAGTTCTTCCCAAGCAGCATCTATTAGCTACGATACTTAAGGGGTGCTCATTTCAGCCACTGCCAAAGTCAGGCTTCCACATCCTTTCCTGGCCCTGTTCTAGTTCCTTTGGTACTGTTGCTTTTTTATGGATCTTCTCAGTAGGTACCCATATAAATACAGTTTTACCTCGGGTTACATATGCTTCAGGTTACACACTCTGCTAACCCAGAAATACTGCTTCAGGTTAAGAACTTTGCTTCAGGATAAGAATAGAAATCAGGCTCCGGCGGCGCAGCGGCAGCAGGAGGCCCCATTAGCTAAAGTGCTGTTTCAGGTTAAGAACAGTTTCAGGTTAAGAACGGACCTCCGGAACAATTAAGTACTTAACCCGAGGTACCACTGTATAGGTTTAGTAGCAGTATTTTGCAGCCCCTCAGCTCGGCGCCCTGTGCGGTGGAAATGCCTGCACCACCCTAAATCCGGCTCTGACTCCAGCCCACCCTTCCCTGAAGGCATTCAGTTTAGGTCTGACAAAAAGCTGGAAAAACTCGAGAAGAGAACAGGAAATTTCCTTTACTTGTTTGAAGCAAGTTAAGAAACATTCAGAGTCAAAACAAACCCTGAGGTGTGAACTGAAGTTATTCTCCCCCCCCCCCCGCCCCAACAACAACAACATTCTGAGAAAAGAAGCAAGGCAGAACAAATTCATTTAACTTTTCCTGGCTTCGTTTCTGCCAAAAGCTTGGCAGCGACGTAAGCCCTTCAGTGCTGTCGGGATCGAGTTCGGATTGGCAGGCTCTGATGCAGGAGGAGGAAGAAACAGACTGAGGGGGGACTGAATGGTGGAGAAGGAGGGGATCTCTTCCATCTCCACTCTAACTTCAGCCACTTCCAAAGGGGAGCACATTTCTGATCACTGTTCTCCCTCTGCATGCACAACTTTCCAGGAGACAGTGGCTTAGTGTGGGGGACCGGGAGGGGGCAGTGGCCCCAGACAGGCACATTTCTTAGAGGGGGAACAACCAGGCAGCTTTCTTGCGCCCGGCCACAGCAGCTCCACTCCTGGGTCAAGCCTGACCTGGGGGTGGAGGGGAGGAGAGTTCGTGACAGCGTAGCCACCCTTGTACTCCACTGGGCTGTGGTGCACGAGTGTGCCCTGCACACCACTGTGTGAGGCAAGCCGCAGCAGGCTCCCTCTGCTCCCTGCCCCCCTCGGGGAGGTGCCCCGGGCAGCGGTACATTACGCTCTGCCACTGCCTGTAGAGTCAATGGAGTCTGGGTTTTAGGGCTGGTTCAGCTGCGAGTCAACACAGAGACTCAGAGAAGAGCAGTAAAGTTGATTCTTTATTCAAAGAGACACAATACAAACAAAGAACTCCATGGACAGAACTAAGCTGATGAAGCAGTTGCCAGAACTGAGGATCTGAGTTTCCCAATGAGGCACTAAGTAAAGAACAGGAAACTCTAGCGGTGATGTCCTCTCTGATGTTTGACATGGCTATACCGCTCCAAGCATGGTGTCCTGTTCCTGACGGTGGATCAATCTCCTCTCAACTCCACACACGCAAACTGCTTTTTCAGGACAGGGTCACCAGTGGAGACCCATTCTAATCAGCTCCGAATTCATACATGGGGCTTCATTACAAGGAAAATTAAAAAGAAAACCTTGCCCTTTTCATTTAGCAAGGAGAGAGAAGCCAGTTCTTGAATGGAAGTGGGTGCTTTGATCTTTCCTTAGCTTTCATCTTGTGATCTTTAGGCTTTTGTGATGCTCAGCTCCTGAACAATAACAAAGGGTGTGACTTCCAGATTATGTAATATGGTAGAGGGCCAATTTAACTTCAATAGGGAAGGGGCCAGGCAGCATTTTGAGGCCAACCACCTTGTCTTCTCAGGACGTCAGTTCCAAGCAATTTCAC